AGGTACCTCTGAAGCCAAGAGGCAACACACTTCTGCCATGTGTCCCGTTCAGAGATTATAACACGAAAGGGCATATCAATCTTATGCGTCTTTGCAGAAAAAAACAAATTAAGCGCCAGTCTTTCTTGTTTGTTAACTGATCTCACGAGGCTACATAGATTAAGCTTATCAAGCATGTTGCACGCTTTTCGCTTCGCATCCTTCAGATTAATTTGCGGGCAAAGGTTAAACACAGAGTCAATAGCCGCGTGGCCTTTACTCATGAAGGTCCGGTTTCTTACGACACAAAACCCACCTTCTTTGTCCGAAGGCAGCAGACATAGTTTGTTGCTCTTTAGGTAGGAGACGACTTTCCTCACTGGAATGGTCTTTCCTCGAGGCGCATATCGGTAGAGGACATCAACACCTTCTGAAACACACCTCTCAGATTCACTGTCCGGGGCAGCCCTTGAAACGTTCCGCACTAACGAAAGCAGTTCCGCAGGTGAGTTTTTCTTTTCCACGGCGAACTTTGGTCCCAGGGATAGCGTTGTCCTGACGTAGTCTGGAAGGCTAATTCCCTCTTCAACGTGGAGCTGTCCTGCAGAGCGCACTTGGGGACGCCGTTTTTGGCGCCGAAGTAGAAGCAGCTCTTGTTTCCATCTGCTCTCTACAGCATGGTCGATCAGCTTCGTCCATTCGTGCCGTTTTTTCACCCTTGCAGACCTGTCACCAGGACCGCGGTCCACTTGAACGTACAGAAAGTCCCGAAGTATTCGAGCTTGTCGCAGGGTTTCCGAACGCAGAATCCTGCAGACCCGCCTTCCGTGACCGACGGATGGAGCCAGGGTCCCGAACGCAGCCTGAACGTCCAGCGGTAGCTGACCGACACGAATGCAGTAAGCCAGTGCCCGTGCCCGGCACAGGGCAAGTGAAATGAGCGTCACAAGCAAAAAAGGGGGAAAGGAGCTACAATTAACAGTGCCCGAGGAACTAGAAATGTACTTAAGTAAAGTGTGGGATTGGGCTAGTTGGTAATCCATATAAAACTTCTAGGCGCGTAAAACTTCAGACAACTAACATAAGAGACAAGGACGAGCGCAGACTTTCAACTGATTTTATTACTACTACGACACACATATATATATTAGAAAGAAGATAAGCAACACACAAAATCAAAAGGCGAAAAGAGAGATTGCAAAAACATCACGTGCTCACCCTGGGCCCTCACGTGCCGAATTTAAAAACGTCAATTCTTTCCCAGATAATGCTATCGATGGTTTGCTGATACAGCTACCTCGAGCAATTGCTGCAGCTTCAATTACAAGTCTTGTGCCTTCATTAGGGTGGGACGCGAGAACCCTTGTCTGTTCGAACAAAGGCTGGCATCCACATTCGGAACAATGAGCGGCCAAAAAACCGTCCCGTCCTGCATTTCTTACTTTCTGGCAATGTTCTTGAAGTCTTACATTGAGGCACCTGCCCGACTGACCGACGTACTCAAGTCCACAAGACAAAGGTACGCCATAAACAATCCCTGTTGCACACTCAACAAACTTCTTTCGGTGCTTAATTTTGCAGCTACTCGTAGTGGTTCCTACGGGGCTTGTTTGGACAGATAATTTTGACAATTTATTCGGTGCGGAAAAAACCACTGACACGCCCGCTCTCTGGCCTATTTCCTTGAGTTTATGCGAGATACCATGTAGATACGGTATCACCGCCACCCTCTTGGGAGTTGCTTCTTGTAAAACGTCCCCATCGTTACCGGCCCTTGATTGTCTGCGCAGCTTCTCACACACAGAAACTAGCAACGAACCGGGATAGCCCGCTGCCTCTAGACGGAGAATCTGCCTGTCGAAACTTCGCTGGACTGAGTGGAAGCAAGATTTTGTTAAAGCGTTATATAAACATGCCTTTACAATTCCACGCTTCACCAGTTTGCTGTGAGAAGACGCGTACGGTAAAAGGGGTTTTTTCCCCCGTGGCTCATACGTCCAACACATGTGTTATAATCTCTGAACGGGACACATGGCAGAAGTGTGTTGCCTCTTGGCTTCAGAGGTACCTAAAACTGTTGCCGATTAATGATCCTTTTCTAGTGAACAATTCTTCGCAGATTGTTGGCTTCCTCCGTCAACACGTGTCCACTCGTCGAGTGGGTGTTTCCATCGACATAAAGGATCTCTACTATTCTCTGCCTCAAAAACCACTTGTTGATGTCATTGAAAAAGCAATTTCTGATTTTGGTGCTGTTGCCTTTCAAAACGAGTGTGGTATTTCTGTTTCTGGCTTCCTGGATGTGCTGAAGCTTTACCTTGCCTCCACCTTTGCGGAGTGGAATGGTGAAGTTTTTCTGCAAAAAACAGGCGTGTGCATTGGCTCATGCATCGCCCCAGTGTTGAGCGATTTATATCTCGCTCATTTGGATAGAAAGATTCATCAACGGTTGGTACAAATGAATGTCAGTAAGTGCTTCCGGTTTGTCGATGATTACTTAATTTTGTTTGATTGCGATCTTGAGGTCCTTAGTGAGTGCTTTCAGCAAGTCTTGCAAGTGTTCCAGGAATGCCTTGAACCACTGTCTCTCACGTATGAGTTGCCGGAAAATGGTTCCCTGAGGTTTTTAGAGTTAATACTAACTTTTTCAGCTGGGCACGTGTGTTGGACGTATGAGCCACGGGGGAAAAAACCCCTTTTACCGTACGCGTCTTCTCACAGCAAACTGGTGAAGCGTGGAATTGTAAAGGCATGTTTATATAACGCTTTAACAAAATCTTGCTTCCACTCAGTCCAGCGAAGTTTCGACAGGCAGATTCTCCGTCTAGAGGCAGCGGGCTATCCCGGTTCGTTGCTAGTTTCTGTGTGTGAGAAGCTGCGCAGACAATCAAGGGCCGGTAACGATGGGGACGTTTTACAAGAAGCAACTCCCAAGAGGGTGGCGGTGATACCGTATCTACATGGTATCTCGCATAAACTCAAGAAAATAGGCCAGAGAGCGGGCGTGTCAGTGGGTTTTTTCCGCACCGAATAAATTGTCAAAAATTATCTGTCCAAACAAGCCCCGTAGGAACCACTACGAGTAGCTGCAAAATTAAGCACCGAAAGAAGTTTGTTGAGTGTGCAACAGGGATTGTTTATGGCGTACCTTTGTCTTGTGGACTTGAGTACGTCGGTCAGTCGGGCAGGTGCCTCAATGTAAGACTTCAAGAACATTGCCAGAAAGTAAGAAATGCAGGACGGGACGGTTTTTTGGCCGCTCATTGTTCCGAATGTGGATGCCAGCCTTTGTTCGAACAGACAAGGGTTCTCGCGTCCCACCCTAATGAAGGCACAAGACTTGTAATTGAAGCTGCAGCAATTGCTCGAGGTAGCTGTATCAGCAAACCATCGATAGCATTATCTGGGAAAGAATTGACGTTTTTAAATTCGGCACGTGAGGGCCCAGGGTGAGCACGTGATGTTTTTGCAATCTCTCTTTTCGCCTTTTGATTTTGTGTGTTGCTTATCTTCTTTCTAATATATATATGTGTGTCGTAGTAGTAATAAAATCAGTTGAAAGTCTGCGCTCGTCCTTGTCTCTTATGTTAGTTGTCTGAAGTTTTACGCGCCTAGAAGTTTTATATGGATTACCAACTAGCCCAATCCCACACTTTACTATAGTACTAGAATTTGCCTTATCTTCGAGCTTACGCCTTGGAACGAACTCGTGGCTTCGTTTTATAGCCGAGTTTCGGCACTTGTTCCGGATAAAAGAACGGATCCTTGTCAACATTGTGAGCTGATTTGAATTCGTGAGACTCGAAACAATTCAGGCGGTGAAACGAAGCTGCAAAAAAAAAAAAAATCGACAGATCTCACAAACCTAGGAATCAAGGTTATGCGAAGCATGCGGAGGGAAGGTGACCATGTTGCATTTTTTTTTCAGCGGCACGTCATGAAATGACGCTAAATATATGTGCAAATGATGCACGTAGAGACATATGTTGAAGATTTGCAGATGTTTGTATAAACATTTGTTTGTACTTGCGCAATGATGCCAACTGGAACATGCGTATTAGCAACACCAGAAGCTGATATGAAGCGCTGATGTTCGTGAGGATGCTGGCCCTGGAGACTGCTACAACTTCAGCGCATGACAACTAACCACAATCAATGACGTTAACCCGACGCGACGGCTGTATCAAAGGAGTACACATGTAACGTTCATAAAACTGGGTAGGCTGCACTGCAACCACTAGTCACGTATCACGCGAATTAGCGTCTTTTTAACAGTAGTTCCGAGACCTGGCGTAGCTCTGTGGTAAAATGCTTCATTGCCATGCAGAATGATTGGGTGCAATTTCAGCTGGAACCCTTACATTTATTCTTTGCATTCGTCGGGTGGACGCTACCGATGCCGGGTACTTCTTAACGCTAGCGCGCTAAAATTGCCGATGTGTGTTCTCGTCGTTCCTGGGTAGATACTAAGTGTCAATCACCTGTGGCACATAGCCGCATATCAGCGGCACATACCGGCCCGTGGGTATGTGTCACTGTCTAACGGGAAGTGTTGTTACGCGACGGGATTGTGACATTAGTCATGTCTTGACCAGCGCGTCATATTCGTCAATCCATCCTACCCTCCCATGCTAATTTTTACAAAACATTAGCTAGACTTCGCCTCATGACAAAGCGGACGCAAGCCGCAGGAGCGAAACAGAGTCAAAACAACGAAGTTTAGGCAAATCCGCGCAATGCCCGTCGTTACCATACCGGCTCAAGCACGCTGCGTTGCAACTTCCGTATAGACACTATAGCACCAGAGCTCCTCCTAGTGTATATATATGAAACTCCATGGCCTTTGGGAACTTGCGTTCTCTTTTTCTTATTTTATAAACCCGATCGCTATCGTTAATGTTCATTCGAAATAACGAATGTGTATTATATACGCGTACGTAATATCGGGAAGACCCGACACACAAGCGCCCCACAATCACTCGGCACAACTGCTACAACGAGACAAATAAACAACTACTCACGTGTACTCGTTCGGACATGCCCTTGAGTCCCTGTATGAACTCGGTGGCGGTCTTGGCTTTCTCCGAGAGTGCCTGCAGGTTCTGAGACAGCTCCGT